ACTACTCTGAAAAGACAGCCTTGGCAGAAAACAGTAGGGAGGTTCCTCAAAAAATTTAAAAAAGAGGCTGGGCATGGTGGCCTATGCCTATAATCCCAGCAACCTGGAAGGTTGAGCCTGGAGGATCTCAAGTTCAAGGCCAGCCTGGGCAACTTAGGAAAACAAATATCCTCAGCAATTTAATGAGACCCTGTCCCTTCTACCCACCAAAATAAAATAGACTAGGGATGGAGCTCAGTGATAAAGTGCTCCTGAGTTCAATCAGCCATACCAAAAAAAAAAAAAAGAAAACAACTACCACATGCTCTAGAAATATCCAAAGGAAATGAAATCAGTGTGTTGAAAGTAATGTATTCCTGCATCTGGTTAAATCTTTTTTGTGTCTCATACTGTTTTATTTATTTATTTATTCATTCATTCATTCATTCATTCATTCATTCATTCATTTATTTATTTATTTAGTGTGTGTGTGTGTGTGTGTGTGTGTGTGTGTGTTTTGAGAATGAGAATCAAGTCCAGAACCTCACATGTGCTAGGCAAGTGCTCTACCGCTGAGCCACAACCCCAACCCATCTCGCACTGTTCTGAAATGCTTCCTATAGATCTCATTAAGTTTATTCCATGACTTAAATATTCTGTTGCTACAATAGGTGTTTTCCATTACTTTTTTAAATGGGCTAGGAAAGTCAAGATGCTAGTTTTTTGTAATGGGTATTCTATTTAATTTCTTAAGCTCTAAATTGTTTTCCAGTTGATTTTTGTGTATTTCTAGGCACACAACAATATTATATTCTCCTTCTTAACTTTTTTTTTTTTTTTGAGAGAATTTAATACTTATTTTTTAGTTCTCGGCGGACACAACATCCTTGTTTGTATGTGGTGCTGAGGATCGAACCCAGGCCGCACACATGCCAGGCGAGCGCGCTAATGCTTGAACCACATCCCCAGCCCTCCTTCTTAACATTTATATTTATATAATTTGCTAAATCTACCACCAACCTTTTAAGTTGAAAAAGACTTCTAGCCATTGTCTGGTGGCCTAATGTGAGTGCTGTGGTTTATCCCCCAAGGGTTCATGTGTTGAAGGCTTGGTCTTCAGTGTTATTAGTGTTGAGGCAGTGAGACTTTAAGAGGAGCAGCCATGTGGTAGGTCTATAGGTCACTGGAAACATGAAAGGGATTACTGCAGTTCTCCTGGGACCCTAGTTAGTTCCTGTTTGTTCTATGGCTTCTTTTCTTGAAACATGATCTCACTCCCAGACACTCCTGCCACTGTGATGCCATTCACCAGTAGGCCTTCACAAGAGCTTAGCTGATGCTGACAACATCCCCTTAAATTTCCAGAACTGTGAGCTAAATTTATATCTTCTTTATAAAGATATTTAGTTTAGGTATTTTATTATAGTAATAGAAAAATGGACTGATACAGTAAATGAACCTATAATGAGTAAATCCATCATGCCTATCATACCTATTTTCACCTATCCATTGATTTGATGACCTAAAGGCAGCCACATCCCCTCACCCCAGCTTCGTAGTTTATGGCAGTGGCATCCCATGGAAATAATACTCCAGATCTCCCTTCTTTCACCATGCAGATACTTCCACTGAATAATCTGTAAGTTCTGAACCCCGAAGACCAAATCCCCCTAAATTTGAGCTGCTTCTCTGCCTCCTTATTTTAACTAAAATCTGAGGGCCCTGTTTTCCCCACAGACATCTGAAACAGTGACTATTACTCTCTTTCACAAAAGGTGAGGTTGGTGACTTCCTTCCTTCTCTGTGTCACTTCTAAATCATATTGCCCATTGTGTTGCAAAAGCCCTATTCCTTTTGCATCTGTTCATTCTGTATACTTACTTACCTCTTTCCTTCATTCTTTACTGCTGTCCATCTGCCAATCATCTCATCATTTCCTTCTCATTCACTGAGGACTTTGATATCTGTCTAAGGCTTTTCTTCCATCAAAGTAGGCATTTACATTCAATCCCTGCCTCAAAACCCCTTGCTATTTGACCTCCAATGATCTTTTTCACTCCAGTATATCCACAGCTTGGACTCTGTCACCTATAACTGTTTCATTACCAAAGTCAAACAAATTCAAACATTCTGCTCTGGCTCCTTGACCTTGTTTCAGCTACTGAATCATTCCTATTGCTATTCTTTGCCCTCACCAAGGTTTCCATTCCAAAGACCCCCTCTGCTTTATCTTACAAACACAGGTCCTTTTCCAAAATTCCCTCTCTTATTCCCAAAACTTACAAGTTATCCATAATATATGCTTCTATCTCAGCCCAAAAATCCTTTCACAACAAACCTATTATTGTAGCATAAAAGATAAAAGATACTTTCATGAGAATATTTACTGTAGAGAAAATAAAAATTGCATATCACTGGGAAAAATCTCCAGACTTTAATGTCTCCAACACTTAAAACTACATCCAGTTACTGGAACTCAGAATATAAAGTAATAGTGCTCAGCACTAGTTTACAAAAGTCTTAATGAAAATGTGATTTTTTAAAAATTGAGTTCAAAGAAAGAGAATGTGGCCAAAATGAAACTAGGAAAGATACCAGAACAAAAAACAAATTTATTTGTTTCAAAAATTACAAAAATTACAAGAATTAAGCAATTTGAATTTTGTAGAAACTATGAGCATTTGCATTACTAGGGAAGAATGAATAAAATTAGCTGGGTGCAGTGCCACACACTTGTAATCCCAGCAGCTTGGGAGGCTGAGGCAGGAGGATCACAAGTTCAAAGCCAGCCTCAGAAAAAAAAAAAGTGAGATGCTGAGCAACTCAGTGAGACCCTGTCTCTAAATAAAATACAAAATAGGGCTGGGGATGTGGCTCAGAGGTACCCCTGAGTTCAATCCCCAGTATCCACAAAAAAAGAAATGAATGAAACTTAAAACAGCATAATTGATAATGAAAACCATGTTAAATAGACTGTATAGACTGTGCTGAAGAACAAAGTAAAGCTTTAATGTAATACAATAATCCGGAAAATAATATAGATGTCTAAGAATTACATTAACACTTTAAAAAGATGATTCAGCAGTGTGTAACAGTTCTCCCATAAAAGAAACAGCAACAGGAAAGTCAGCTGGGGAGCTATTGTGAGACTTCACACAAGATAAGATCAGTACAGGAGTTGCAGGACTGTGTAAGACAAAAAGCAGAAAGATTTATGCTGAAATGATTAGAGAAAGACATACTTAAACATATCTTGAGTTTGAAGAATAAGCACATGATGAAGCTCTTGAGAATAGTTATCATAGGAAAATTATGGAACTGTATCTTATTTTCCTTAACTATCTGTTATGGGACAAATTGTGTCCCCCAAAATATCATGTTGAAGTCCTAACACCCAGCACCTATGAGTGTGACCTCATAGATGTAACCAAGTGAAGACAAGGTCATTGGGATGGACCCTAATCCAATATGAAAAACAAACCTACACAGAGAATGCCACGTAAAGACACAGACATACAAGGAAGATATATCCATGTGAAGACAGAGACAAAGACTGACGTGTTACAAGAGACTGAATGTCCAGGGACGCCAAGGATCACGAGCAAACCACCAGAAGCTAGAAAAGAAGCAAAAAGAGATTCTACCCACCAGTCTTCAATTTCTTTGGAACGACCTGCCAACATCTTGATTTCCAACTTCTGGCCTCCAGAAATATGAGACATTTAATTCTATTTGTTTTAAGCAACCTGGTTTATGGTCTTGGACATCTTAACACACCACCCTACCTACTCATTCACATCTCTCTCACTGACTTGGCTACAAAATCTAAAAACATAAGAACCAGGGGGTGCTGGGCCCACTCTCAATTGTTAGAGTGTTTGCCTCACATGCACAAGATCCTGGGTTCAATCCCCAGCACCACACACACACACACACAAAAAAAAAAAAAAAAAACAAGTCTATATCAAACACTGTTATATCTATAGTGCTTGGCCCTATACACTGCATAGGCAAGCATTTGAAAAACCTGTGAAAGGAAGGAGTAAATTTCAGATAACATGGTGACAAACTTAAGTTTTGATAGAAATGTTACACAGAGCCACAGCTCTCAACCACTCATACATAAGTAGAATACCATCAATTAAACAGTACAAATAATTGCCATTTAGTTATTAAGGGCCAATATTTAACAATGATCTTGTTTTATTAAAAAGACTAGACAATATATATAATTCAAGGGAATCCCTCTCATAACTGATACACTCACTCACTTGAATTGTCACTGGGGGAGGTAAAAGTAGAGAAGCATGCTAAGAATTGCATCCAACCCTAGAATACCCAACAAAAAAGTGTTTTACAGGAAAAACAGATAAGAACTGCTATGAAGAAGTCACTGAATAATAATTGTAGTAACAGTAATAATAATAGTGGTTAGCAAATGTTAAACACTAGAAAACACTACTTTCTAGGCACATAATTCTATGCATTTAACAAATACTAATTTATTTAACCTCACCTGCATTACTGCAGTAACTCCATAACCGTTCTCACTGAATGCATTCTTGCACCCCTAAAAATTCTGAACCCAGCAGCCAGTGATCCTTTTACAATGTCAGATAACATCACTCCTCTGCTCAAAACTCCCTATGGCTCCCATCTCCCCGACAAGAAATACCCAAGGCCTGGTGTGAACCTGATCTCACCACCTCTCTGACTTCATCATTCAGCCCCTCCCATCACACCCTGAAACCTTCTTGCTGCTCCCTCTCCTTTAACATCTCACCCAACATATACTTGAAGCTCTTACTCATCCATTTTATTTCATTCTCTTCCCCAATCTGTAACACCTTTCCTGCTGACCACCATTGCTCCACCTCATCCATAGACATCAGTGTAGGATTACTAAGAACCAAATGCTTCAGGTTTCAATCATTTGCTAAAAACTATTCAGTTCTCATAGTTTTCTTACTCTTAAAACTTCAAGTGATGGGTTATGATGTTAAAATATTTATAATACATACCTGCAGCTGTTGAAGATCATCTTCCTGAATGTTCTGAGACAAATTATATATCTAGAAAACAAAACTCAACTTGATCTATTCTGACTTACTTCAAACAAATCCCAAATAAGCCTAAAGCATTCAAAAAGAAGTTTGGACACGGACTGGGTTGTGGCTCAGTGGTAGAGTGCTCACCTAGGATGTGCAAGGCCCTGGGTTTGATCCTCAGCACCACATAAAAATAAATAAATAAAATAAAGGTATTATGTCCAACTACAATTAAAAATTGAATAAAAAAAAGAAGTGTGGACAATTAAAGGCTTGCGTATAAGAAAGTGAAGCCCATTCAAACAGTAATATTATCTGTCTTTGAGACAAAAAAATACAAGGTTGGAATAAAAAATTCTTCCTTTACATTTTAAAATATAATTTTCCTAAGTTCTTACCAAATCTACATTTCCTACATAAAAGATATAATTTCAATTTCCAAATTTTGGACCTTTCCTAGAACATATTAAATATGATTATCACCAAAGAGGAAAAAAAATTTAGCCCCCCTTCTTGAGCTAAGAGTTTGTCTTACATCTATAGTCTAAAAATAACATTTCCATATCATCACAGGAATTTTTTTTAATAGAACAGTAACTAAAACTAGATAGACTGGGCACGCTGGTGCACACTTATAATCCCAGCAGCTCGAGAGACTGAGACAGAAAGATCATGAGTTCCAAGCCAGCCTCAGCAAAAGCAAGGTGCTAAGCAACTCAGTGAGATCCTGTCACTAAATAAAATACAAAATAGGGCTGAGGATGAGGATCAATGATTGCATGCCTCCGAGTTAATACCCTGTACCCAAAAGAAAAAAATTGATGGCCTCCCTTTATCCTATTTCCTCTTATTTTAAGTTAAGTGGTTTTTACCTGAACAGAACTAGTCATGGTGCTTAGAGCGAAAATGGTGGCACAGTCTTTCACAGTTGACTGGCTGTCAAAAGCCCCTTGTGTGTCCATCAGAATAACTGCAACCTAAAAAATAAATACAAATAAAATATGTTGAAGAGAGAAAAGGTAAAGGACAGATTTGTTTACATGAGCCTCAAGCACCCACTGAGTATCTATTAGAAAAGAATGATTATTCAGGTACCTTGCTTTGACCAGAGCACTTTGCTGGAGAACATCTGTTCTAACCTGGTGAGATGCCACAAAACAGAGGCATACAAGGCAACACAGGAGGAAAATTGCCCCACCAATCAAAACAGCCAACACTGAAATCAATCACCTCACTACCCCATCAGTTGTTCAATGGTTTTTCATTGTTAAAAAATAAATTTTAAAAACTAGGTAAGGGGCTGGGGATATGACTCAAGCAGTAGTACGCTCGCCTGGCATGCGCGAGGTCCTGGGTTCGATCCTCAGCACCACATACAAATAAAATAAAGATTTGTGTCCACCGAAAACTAAAAAATAAATTAATTAATTAAAAAAAAAAAAAAAAAACTAGGTAAGTGTGGTGATGCACGCCTGTAATCCCAGATACTTGGGAGGCTGAAGCAGGAAATTCACAAGCTAAAAGTCCAGCCGGGCAACTTAGCAGGACCCTATCTTTTAAAGTTTTTGTTTGTTTGTTTGTTTGTTTTTTTAGTTGTAGATGGACACAATATCTTTATTTAGTATTTTTTTATGGGGTGCTGGGGATTGAACCCAAAGCAGTCTACCACTGAGCCACAACCCCAGCCCCAAACTCCTTTTTTAAAGGCCTATAGATGTAGTGCAGTAATATTGCCTCCGGGTTCAATAACCAGAACTGGGAAGGAGCGGGGGCCAGGGACAACTTTTGTAGTTATTAGGGCACTATTAAGAAAGTGAGGGGCTAGGGTTGTGCCTCAGTGGTAAAGCACCAGCCTAGATGTATGAGGCACTGGGTTCAACCCTCAGCACCACATAAAAATAAATAAAGATATTGTGTTCATTTATAACTAAAAAATTTTTTTAAAAATTTAAAAAAAAAAAAA